TGAGCCCAGCAGGACGGAGCTGCTCGAGGTCTGCCTGGATGATCCCAAGTCCCAAATCGAGCGCTGCTGTTGCAGACCCTGCTCTGGCCCCTGGCTGTGGCAGGGCCATGCTCACTGAAATGGCAGCACAAAGCATTTGTCAGCCTCTGACTCTTTAATCAGATAAAAACAGGGCCCAGATGGCGAATTCTGCAGTCCCTTCTTGTTGCAGTTCTGGTTCTTACGGAAAAGTCTGCAGGGTCAGAGCCACGCACTTTGCTAAGATTGAATCCTCAGCAGGAACTGCATCTGCAGCACTCCATTGGTTTTACTTTTGTTTAACAGACCATAAACAATTTGTTTATATAGACAGCTTTTCATCTTCCACGGTGAGTCATCAGTGAGTTCTCCTGGGATCAGTCCCCACTCCGGTTGTTGCTTTTCGTTTATGTTCCAGGCTTGGATGATTTAAATCATCAGCATTTCCATCTGAATCCTGAGGCAGCTGCTTTATGGCCTTTTCCCCGCACAAAGGATCTTACTAAAAATCTACATTACGGGCCTGGCGGATTAAGCTTTGCTTTGAAATGCTTTGATATAAAGTAGAAAAGAGATGTTACGGCCTATTGGCCACAGAGGGGAGAACCCCAGTCCATCAGTGCTCAAAACACAGGTCCATCTCTCCGAGCAGTTCCTGATTTAACGGGGATAGTGATGAACTCTCACTCTGTGAGTGCTGGAAGGATGGAAAATGTGTGGCACAGGGCACTGTGTCCTACACACACACACGGGAAGTGACCACATGGGCTGGGGTGATGCCCTGAGGGTGACCAAGTGGGCAGGAAAGCACAGCCAGGTGTTTTTAGCTAAGAACTGGAATTTTGTGAGAGAGTCTGAGCATCTGTGATGAGGCACAATCCTGGGAATGGCTGGAACCAGAGAGAACTGTCCGGTTTTCGGCTGTTTGGATGGCCTGGAAAGGCCCGGGGTGGCCTTGGGGCAGCCCATGTTTCAAAGGAACAGAAGAGGCTTCAGTTCTTCTTTCGGTCTCTGTGTTTATTAATTGTTTATCTAAAAGATTTTCTTTCGGCCCGACAGAGCTCTGCTCAGCAGCCAGCCATGAGCACACTGTGTTCCCTCCGGGCAGTCACCTATCTTTATACCCATGGTTGCGTGTACAATATTTATCATTTTTCCCCAATACCTTTCACCCTTATTGCCCAGTGCACTTTTAGTAATGACCAATCCCGAAGTGCCACCATCACCACAGAAGATGGAGGAGAAGAAGAAGAAGAAGAAGGACAGGACACGCCCCAATTCCTCCATCTTACTTCTCTAAACCCCCCTGTACAGAAATCCTAAACCCTGTGTCTCACCCTCTAATTAACTAATCCCTTCACCATTCACCCCGGTGAAACCCTCCTATCCTCATACAGGTGTCGTTTCCCGTGTAGGATCAAAGTGCAGCCACCAGACACTTCTGGAACATTCCAGGACTCCCGAGCCCCCCAAGGGTGGTCTCGGTGACTCAGCACCTCAGGACTGAGATGCTGAGATCCCACAGAGAACTGAAGAAAAACCTTCCTTGACTTGCAGTTTCATTTTTAGCCCACCTTCATATTGTCCTACAGGGCAAGAGTGGCACAGGGTCTTCAGATCAGAACTGCAGGCTGTTTCAAAGTTTATCTTTACTTTTAATTCTTAGATGTATTTAATTAACTTTTTAGTTTCACATCTTGAGTTCGATGCTCTGAGTGTGGTTACACCTCCAGTGGCTGAAAGACTCCAAAGTGACCGACTCTCTTCATATTTCCATCAGTTTTAGGGAGGAACCTCTTGTCCTGGAGCCCAAATAATGTATAATTTTGATGGATAGCATTTCCCCTGAAGTGTCACTGAACTCTTGGGGTGATTTCCCTTGCTGAGCTGCAGAAATAACTCAGATTAACAGCCCCTACTTAGGGGGAAGGAGATGCTGCTGCTGCTTTGTTGTGAAAAATCCTGGGAAAAATAGATTACTCCTTGAAATTGCACCAAATGTGCCTAAATTAAGGCTTGGAAGGGACTGCTTTTTCCTGTGGAGGTGTTTATTTTAAAAAGTACTTTGGAGCAAATAATTCATTATCCTCTCACCTTGCACTTGGCGATTGCTTATACAAGGAGTCCACTTGGAGAAGCAGTTGGCTTTTTCCTTCATTATATATACATAGACCCAAAGAATTTTTTATACTCCAGTAAACATAATTTGTACTTCATGACGTGTTATGAGTTTCTCGTTGTATGAATGTCTTAAAATGAATTTATAAATAATTTTTATGGTTCAGTGAGAAAAGCCATTAAGGTGTTTTAAATGTTTGGAAGTGCAGGAGTTGAAAGAGTGGGTTGATATATGGGGTGCAACGGGAGTTGGGAGCTGTGCAGGAATGCTCTAGAGGAAATCTAGAGGGCTTCAACTAAAAATTATTAAAATTGCTACTGGTAGATAGGGTACAGAAAAAAATTTAAAGGTGAAAGGAAATGAAAAACATTCAAGTAATAATATCACGGTGTTCACTCACTTATTGTGATCTATTTAGATCAAGGTAAATGTTAGATTCATTTTAAATGTTTAAATAAATCTGTGAAGGTCTGCAAATAATTTGTCTGCTAAGGCATTGACCCTTCCCCACGCCTTGGAACTGTTTAGTGTCAGAAATGCCACTTGTGACCCTGAAAAAATATGGTGGTAGAACTCCAGGCTTGTCTTGAATTTTTTTAATTATTCTGGACAACAGAATGCATGAGAAAACAACTGCATTGTGTGACTCCTGGAATCCTGGAGATGAGTTGCTGTCCATGAATTTCCCTTTTCCCCTCTAGCATGAAAAGCATAAATCCATGGGAATGAGTGGAATTGAGTGTGGCACCATCTCTGCTGAACTGTGGAAACTTTCTGCAATTAATTGCACAATCACTTCATTTGGAAGAGCAACTGCTATCAGCTCTGAATGGCTCCCACATCTCAGGGTAAGGTCTCTTCACTATTTCTCTGTGTTATTTTTAATTAACTTGGAACGAGCATTTGTGCATGGAAATCTCAGTGCAAATGTGTACAAGTGTTTTTATACCTCCCTCCAGCTGCCACGCTCTGCAGGCAGGGATTTTGTTCAATTTTGGCTGTTTTTGCCAAATTTCCTGGGAAATCTGCTGGGATAAGCCAAGAGGGCAGGTAAGGGACGAGGGCTGTAGCAAAGGGACAAGCACCAGGATCAGAACTTCCCCGAATCCCACTGAATTCCATGAGAATCTGCATTTACAAGGGCATGGAGTGACAGGGGAATGGCTTCAGACTGCCAGAGGACAGGGATGGGTGGGACATTGGGAAGGAATTCTTCCCTATGAGGTTCTGGGAGTTTTTGGGATGGAATTCCCAGCCATGGAGCCCACCTGGAGGCAGTGAGGTGAAGTCAAGTGTTAGCGTTCAAAATCACAATAAATCACGGCAGATTTTGGGATTTAGCCTCCTCAGCCTTTGAATTTAACACAAAGCAGAGGCTAGAGAGGAATTCAGTGGGCTCTTAGCTATGGGTGTGAGTGCAGGCACAGCAAGCTGCAGCATTAGGAACAGCTGCAGAGGCCAATTTGACAGAGTGACCCCACGAAATCACTTAATCCCGACTGGTTTTACACAAGAGCTGCTGTGTGGCTCTGGTTTTTGCTTTGGGGCAGGCAGGAGGTGGTGGCTCTGCAGCTCAGAGGCACAGCAAGGCTTTAGGATGTCGTAACAAAAGGAGGGGAAGGAAGTTCTAGCTGCTTATCATTTATTCTAATCAGCCTTTCCTCTGATTTTCTGCATTACAGCACCACTGAGCAGCGGGGTGTTGGCAGCAGAGAGGCTGAAACCTTCTCTCAACACAGGCAAATATTTCTGGGCATCAGCAGCTCCTGCAGCAGAGGTGAGGGCAGGAGCATCACAGCTGAGATGGGTGGGGAGGCTGGGCTTGGGATCCTCACTAACAAGTCAGGGAGGTGAAAATGGTATTGAATTTGCCAGCAAAATCCTTAATCCTGGAGCACAGGGAGCTTTTCTGCATGCACCTCAGGTGTGTGGAATCCTTGTGTGAAGAATCCCATCTAGAAAAGGCAAAAAGCCTGTGATAAATATATCTCCTTTGATGTGATGAAAGTGAAGCTCTCGGAGCAGAAGAACTGCTGGTGCCTCTGTAAACATTTTGGTTTGGTCTTAGTCAAATAGACTGAAGTAATCAAATAGACAAGAGTGTGAAAGTCAGAGGGAAAAAAACCAACAACTCTGAGTGGGCCAGGATCAGCTCAGGGTAACTCAG